CTGGGCAACACGGCAAGCCCTCATCTCGACAAAACACAAAATAAAAGCGGGCTGGCGCGGCAGCACACAGCACAGCGTCAGCTTCTCAGGAGACTAAGACAGAAGGGTCACCTGAGTCCAGGAGGTCATGATCTTGCCTCTGCATTCCAGCCTGGGTAGCCAAGTGAGACTCTGACTCAAAACAAAAAATCTGCATTTTTATATTTCAGAAATAAACAAGCTTAACATACAATTTAATAAAGTCATACTTTATTGTCACAAGTAAGTACCTACAAAAAAATTTAACCAAGATAAAACTTTACACGAAGCGGCTCTCTGACTTTGCATTAAAACAATAACACAGATCTAAGTATATTGGAAGGTATTTGCCCAAGCTTCATGGAAGAGAATTACTGAAAAGCTATCAGCCCTCCCCAAACTGATCTACAGATTAAATGCAATCCCAGTTAAAATCCCAATAGGCTTTTTATGTGACACTTCATAAACTTGTTATAGAATATATGTGAAACAACAGGGACTCAAGAAGTTTTTTCAAAAACACTGAAAGTGAGGATATTATCTCTGAAAGAGACAAAGGGTTACGACAAAGATCACTAAGGTGGTGTGGCACTGGATAGATAAAAAAATAAATAAGGCTAGGCACAGTGGCAATTACACACCTGCAATCCTAGCACTTTGGGAGGCTGAGGAGGAGCACTGCTTGAACCCAGGAGTTCGAGACTAGCCTGAGCAACATAGCAAGACCTCGCCTCTACAAAAAAAAAAAAAAGTTTTTTAAACTGGTCAGGCATGGTGGTGCGTGCCTGCTGCCCTAGCTACCGGGAATGCTGAGGTAGAAGGATCACCCGAGCCCAGGAGGGCGAGACTGCTGTGAGCTGGGATGTTTGTGATCATACCACTGCACTCCAGCCTGGACAACAGAGGAAGACCCTGATTCCAAAGAAATAAAACTAAATAGAAAGCCAGAAATAGGATCAAATATATGAACTCTTGATACATGACAGAGGTGGCACTGCAGATCACTAGAAAAAGGAGAAGTCCTTCAGTGAATGGTTCTGGAGTAATTAACTATTCATATGGAAAAATATTAAAATGGACCCTTACCTCAGGCCATGCATAAAATTCAATTTCAGATGGATTAAAGTTTTCAGTGAAAGGCAAGTCATTAACACTTACAGAAGGCGTAGGATAATATCTTTGTGACCTTGAGGCAGGCAAGGACTTTTTTATATACACACACACAAAAATCATTTTTAAAAGAATGAGAAATTCAACTACAATAAATTTCTGTTCATCAAAAAAGACCGGAAAGTGAAAAGACAAACCACAAACTGAGTTTATTTGTAATACATAGCATTAGCAGCTAAAATATGTTAAAATCTTCTAAAAATCAGTATCAAAAAAATCCCAATGGAAAAACAGACTATATTCATAAATCAGGCAGTTCACAGAAGGGGAAATATGAGTGATCAATAAATAAGGAAAAATGTTCAATCTCTTTATCAATCAGAAAAGTGCAAAGTAAAATCACAATGAAAAAATACCATATTTCAAAGTCAGTAGAGAATGGAAAAATCAATGAGCCTAACAATTCCAAGTTAGTGATCAAGTTGGAGCTCAACAGTACTAAGTGCGGGAGCAAGACAGAGCACTACGAATTCTCACGCACAGGCGGCGGGGCTGGAATGGGCACTCCCTCTCGAAACCATTCAGCACTACCTTATAAGTTAGAGGTTCACAACAATTCTGCCCCGTGGCATATACCCAGACAACTGGAATACACCCTAGCCAACAATTCTACTCTTTGGTATACACCCCGAAATGCTCGTGTGCACTAGGAGCATTTTGAGAACATGCACGGCAACAATTTGCTCACCATAGCCAAAAGTGGAAGCAGCCTAGATGTTAACCAAAAGAACAAACAGATAACTTGCGGGGTACTTGTGAACTGCAGCTGTATACCAAAATATGAATGCATCTTTGAAATATGAAAGTTTTGAATAAAAGCAAATCCCAGGAAACTGGAACAGAATGATGCCCTTTTTAGAAAACTCAAAAATATGCACGCTATTATTTAGAGAATCATGTGTGATAAAAATACTTTGTAAAATGTGGGATACTGGTTACTTCTGAGAAAACAGCAAGATCAGACAGACAGGAAGGACAGCGTCTCAATGTCATGGATGACATTCTTGCGACGCTGAAAGGGATCATCTCATTTTATGCTTTATGAATGACATGTTAACTTGATGTGTCTCAAATGTCACGTAACAATCATAAGCAATGAATAAAAAGGTTTCATTATAATTCGGCCCCTGAAGGGACACAGGAGGGAAGAGGTGCCTGGGAAACTGAAAGGGGCGATGCTTTCAGTGACTGCAACGGACTCTATTAAGCAGAGCTAGACGTCAGGAGAAGCACCCACAGCAGACCCACCACGAGAACCACTCCCACCCGTGCGTGGCGCTCCACGAGGTTCTTCTCCACGGGGCCTCAGCCTCCTCTCCAATGAGTCGCGCATGCAGACCTTGAGCCTGGGCAAGGATCTTGACTCCGTCGTCATCGTGGCTGACGTCGGCCTTTTGCAGCCCCTTCAGCGGCTGCCTTTCCTTGTGGGGGTGTGCGTGTGTGTCACTCCGTCGCCCAAGATGGAGTGCAACGGCACAATCACAGCTTACCATGGCCTCGACTTCCCAGGCTCAGGCAATCCTCCTGCCTCAGACTCCCAAGTGGCCTAGAGCGCAGGCACACACCACCACACCCAGCTAATTTTTTTGTGGGGGGCGGGGATAGAGACGAGGTCTCACTATGTTGCCCAGACTGGTCTCAAACTCCTGGGCTCAGCTCCCAAAGTGCTGTGATGACAGGTGTGGCTCACCACACCCAGCCCCCTCTTGCTCTTAGAACAAACAACATGGTCTATTAACCATCACAGTAGTTTTGTAAGGATGAGGCTCCTGGTTCCCACTCCAGCCTTACCATCTACTCTGGTAGTTATGTCCATCTGGTTCTGGTTCTGGTTCTGGTGGGCACAGCCCCCCACAGATTCTCTTCTAGAATCCTGTCATTCCAACTGACCCGGGGAAGCCCAGTTTTCCTACCGAGTCGTGTATGGGATTCGGCACAGCTTTGCGATGGGATCTTGAGCTCCATTTCTTAATTTATCTTACTTAAATTGTTTTTAACGGACTCCTTCATTTGTCCTTTGAGATTTCTAACGTTTTACACATTAGGCTTCCTAGATCTGTCCTCCTAATCCCTTGTCTTCCCCTAATAATTTTTATTTCTCTGTTTTAGTCTTACACTTTTATCTCCTCCGCTTGATTTTTCAGAACGTTGTTTCTCTGCAGTGGCCAGCCTCCTTTTCTATTTACTTATTGAATTTTTAGTCAGAAAATCACGTGTATTCATTCCAGGAAGTCCTTGGACGTGCCACTGGCATTTTGACGGTGGGGGGGTGTGTGTGTGTGGTTTGCTGATGTTCTCTCCTGAGCCTCCTATTCAGCCACGGCCACGGTTCTTTGTGTCCCAACACTCCCCCTTCCCAGCCTGGGCAGAGGCAGCAGGACCAAAAAGAGCACGGCACCTGGGCCCCGGGGAGCAGCGCATCCCAATGTCAGCGGCCAAGGCCGCCAATGCCAATGTCTCCAAGGCGGCACCTCCCACCCCCCACCTCGTCGCCCCAGGGAGGGGGCCGCTGACCCACAGTCTCAGCCTCCGAGCCTCGGCTTCCGTGCCAGGCTCCCTCCCGCTCCCACGCGACAGCCGACAGCGGAGCCCGGGGCCCAAGGGCCCCTGCACGGGATGCACACGCCGGCCGCCACGGAAGCTTCTCTCAGGGAGCCAGGTCCCGCCCTCCCCGCCAGGAGAGGCCAGCCGGATTTCGGGCTCATTCTGTGGCTGGCCGGCAGAAGCCCGTGCCTTCCGCCGGCAGAGCCCTCCGGAGAAGGACCCGTCCTGGCCCTCTCCCTTGGGGGAGGAAGACACCGTGGCCAAGAATATCGACGCCTCCACCCAGGAGAGGCTCAAAGCATTCTCCCCACATGGGGACCGCAGCTGGCACGTCCTGCTCCTGCAGCCCACAATTCCAGGACGCATCCGGTTCACTCAACAGGCATCAGCTCAACGTCACCCCTCAACTTCTGCCTATCACACACAACTGTGAGAAGTCAGAGGTGTGAGGGAGCGAAAACGTGGACACACCAAGAGGCAACCAGTCACCCCGGCCCCTTTCTGCTACAGGCACAGCGTTCCTGACCTCAGCACAGAGCCTCTGCATCTGCTCCCCGGGGCCCAGGCCACCCTCCTCAGGCCTCCCCAGGGCTCGCGGCTCCCAGCCCCCAAGTCACCTCCCGAGAAGGCCCTTCCTGACCAGCCCGAGGTTACCCCCCCTCACCCTTCCTTTCCATCTCTGGCACAGCGTGCCATGTTTACTTCCTCCTAGCACTTACGACTAACCGGAATTTTCCTGCCATGTCGTGTCATGTCTTGTCTCTTCTCCAATTTGTCTGTCTCCTGCACTGGGGCCCTGGTGCCTGGAACCATGCTGGGCACACAGGCGGGGGCTGGATTTGATTTGAGGTCTAAATAGCGCACCAGGCATGGACCATGCAAGAAAAGCATCCTCTTGGACACCTTCAAGTCACCAAAACCAGGTGGAGCAGGTAAGCCTGGAGACTCCTTAACCAGCTCTTCGCTCAGTTCTCGAGCCCTGTCTGCCGGCAGACTTTTCCTCCCCTGCATCAAGTGTGGACACCACGGCCACAGCCTGACCAGCCCAATCCTGGCCTGCAGCTGCGCACCACCGCCATGCAGCACACAGACACTGGCTTCCTGAGACCACTCTGGTGGCAGCAATGCCACCACTGCCTCCAGCCCTCTCCTGTGGTGTTTTCTTTCCTTGTCTTTTCTCAAGCGATACTACACACGCACTAGGAAAATTTGGGAGTTACAGAGTCTGAAGCAGGGGAGAATCACTCGTCCTCTCCACACCTGTTACGTACTGGGATAGTCCTTTATTCTCTTTCCGATGTACTTTTTCCTGAGATAATCTGTAAATAATCTGCTATCCTTTCTTCTCATTATAGTGTCACTGGAAATTGTCCCATAAATGTAACTTAACAGCCAAACGTTTCACTGGATGATTTACTGAAGCAGTTCTCTTTTAGACGTTTTCTTGCAGCCTTTTGAGCCACCTTTTCAAACATTTTTTGTTTATTTCCAGCGCGGTCGTGGACATCCATCTCCAAATACAGGTACTGGCTTACGCTTTAGAGCCTCCCCCAGGAGAGGCACCCGTCCCGATGCGGCTCTTGATTTGGGTCCTGACACAGCCAGCCAGGCCGAGCACCGGGAGCCCCACGCGCTGAAAAACGACCCAAGCCTCCCGTGAAACTCAGACATGCGCGCCCTCAGAAGACAGAGCGCCCCGCGGCTCCCTCTGCAGCAGCAACTGGCTGTGCCAAGTCCTGGTGCTAAGCACCGGTCCCTCCT